GGGGGGGGTGTACTCATAGTCGTGCATGCCGTAGTCGTTTGACCATTGACCTCGCATCCCTACAAAGCCGGGACGGAGCACGCCGGGTTCTCACCGGACCAGGCTCTCACATCACCAAGCGCGAAGCGCCGTGAGGTATTTGGCGAGTCGCATGAAGGGTGAGCTGCATCCTGCTAAGGGTGTTCGGCATCTTGTGCTTACTTCCTTGCGTACGGATGACAGCTACGTATGACTTAATTTATTTTCTGGTGCTTTCACTTCCAGAGACAGTTGTAAGCACTGTGTAACTGCCTCGAGGAAGCTTGACCATTTTAACACAACGTGGTGCGATCATCCCCCGTTGCGCGGAGTAAGGGTTCTCGACCCCGCACAACATGATCTACTCGACCACCATTATGGTTACCGCCAAAAAAAAAAAACGAGGTGAAAAAAAAAAAACGGTAACCTGGTTGCCGAGTTCACGAAGTGAGTTGGCTTGTTTTACAACGTCGTTGCCAAGCGACGAAAACCCAATCCCGATGGCAAACACCGAGTGGGGGGCTTGTTTTACAACGTCGTTGCCAAGCGACGAAAACCCAAACCCCGATGGCAAACACCGGGGGGGGCGGCTTGTTTTACAACGTCGTTGCCAAGCGACGAAAACCCAAACCCCGATGGCAAACAAGGCCGAGGGGGGGGGGGGGAGGGGGGATTAAAAAAACAAAAAGGCCCCCCCGGGAAAAGGAGCGATTTTCCCCCCCCATGCATCTTCCCTCACATGCAGACGTTTCCCATGCAGGATCTCCCCAACCATAACGCAAGCGCACAGGCCGACAACCATGTGATCCCGCCCCCACCATTTACTTTCGCGCTCATCACATCGCTAGATCAACAACACAAGGCCGCGGCCGAGTGCACCACCCTACGTGCACAGCACGCAGCACGCTCACTGTAGGTGACATACGATATCACAGCCGCTGGACTGATTTTCAAAGCTCGACAACTCCACAGCAGAAAGCACGGCGATGCCAAAAAAGGCGGCGTAGGAACCGTCCCATCGAGAGCTTTCCGAAAAATTACATCCTCTCCGTAACCAAGCTTTGACAATCGGTCCAGGATATATTCTACCACCTACGCCGAACAACCGAATTCCACACCCCGGCCCCAAACTTACGATTTCTGGATGGGGTAACGCTCTTAGCCCTCGGGCCGTACGCCATCACACCGTCTGGCGGCGCTTTGACCTTGGCGAAGATGTGGAGGTGTTCGGGCACCACGATGGCGGGGCAGTCCTGACACCACACAAGCTGATCCGGGGTGATGGAATCCCAGTAAGAGTTGATCTGGTTGGTCACCTGCGGGAAGACCTCGAGCTCTGTCTGGTCGAACTTTGGTTTGCTCATGCTCTTGCTCTTGATCTTGGCGTAGTCGTGGCCGTCCGCTTCCCTCGGCTCTGCTGCTGCTGCTCCCCCTCCTGTCGCCGAAGCAAAAAAAAGGCCGCCGAATTGCGCCGAAGCAAAAAAAAAATAGACCGTCATGTTGGCCACACTTCAGGACGAGGGGAGGGGGGGGGAGCGTGGAGCTGCTCGACAATCCCGCAAGCAAAGGCTCTGTGCCTCGACAAAAGAGCAAGGCGGCGTCCTCCCTCGGGGGTGGATTATCACCTGAGGGACCTACTAGCCCTGTGCCATGTTTCGGTAGCCCCCGTGGTGGTATACCCTACACCGGTGGATTGATTGTCGACACCATGCGATGAAATCCACTCGGTCGACCAAAATGTCGATGCTGATCGTGCCTGCGAGGATCACCACCATATGCCCCTGCCTCGTCGGAGACAGGCGGAGCAGTTTGGTCGAAGAAAACAGCACCGGCATTGTGATCGACAAGGGAGAAGATTTTGTGCGGACCTTGAGAAGACATGGTAATTGCCACGAATGTTTCACGGCCACGGAACTCCGTGGAACATTCGTTATTCCGTTGGACTCCATTGAACTCCACTTCCATTTCTTGGCAGCACTTGAATTTCCACGGAACTCCACTACGTTCCACGGCAAGCCGTATGTTCCACCGTGGAATGCCATGGAGTCCATTGCTGTCCGTGGAATTTTCTTCGGAGCGGCGTCCGTGTTGAGGTTTTAGAGGTCAAACGATGGTCTTGCGACTCATGGAGTGAGAGGTGTGGGAGGGTGAATTGTGTTGTTTTGGAGCTCCGCATCCTCGATACTCTCATTTTGGGATCTAACATCAGCTGTCACGCTCCGAGATTTCATATTATCTGCGTATCAGAATCTCCACGGCGGGCTACTGTTACGGGGTGTATGCGCCGCGAAATATAGAAGAGAATGATCCCTTCTAGGAGGAGAGGGGGCGTGTAGCTCCCCGATGAAAGGCAAAAACAGGGGGACAGGATCTAGTAGCCCCTTGCTTGAGGAGAGCTGATCCGTCCCCCAAGGCAACAATAACAGCTTCTGTTCCGCACGAGTTAATAACAAGTTAGCTCTTCACGGTCTTCCAGACTGCACCGCGCGTGCATGTACTTAAAGAGTCCATTAAAGCCTATATGAATGGGTTTTTTCTTGAGAACCGGCATTATCGCGGACCAGAGCACCCTTTTATAGAGGCATCACCTTATCATGCCTGAACCGGCACCATAACGGGCGACCAGCATCATTCGACCGGCAAATATCGCGACCACCTACATACTGCACGGATAGCTATCTGCGAAATTGTGGAACCGAAAGGGGCATGTTTTCATATTTTCCCCCTTTTGCACTCTTCGGTTTTCGTGATTAATACTTCAAGGAGTCAGAACACTAATTTATATTTATGCATTGGTCAACTCGTTGTTGATGGTACTACATTTCCTTCCGTACATGTAAATACAAGTTGTTCTGGGATTTTTTGATGTGTACGAACGGGAAGAGAACTTCTTTGATTCCCGAAAGTCGAAGTGATATGATGCGCCCTGCCCACGCCGTTTAGTTTTGTTAATCTACGTGATGATTGCTCACGATTGCCTCGGGGAGAGAAGAGGGTCTTTTTTTTTTTGGTATTCACGTCAAATCAGCGCTCACAGCACTTGTGCTGTTTACTCCAACCCGTGGGCACATAGAAGGGCTCCTCTCACTGATGCCCCTCCTGCGGTGCTTTGTATTCGTTTTTTAATGCGGGAAGGGTGCAGCTATCTCTTCCCTCTGTGTACACACGAACTACATGTACTTGTACACTGCGGCGCTTTCCACCCAGGAAATGAAAAATGAAAAAAAAAATGAGAAATAATTCAAAATTCAACCTTGCTGGTCGCCAACTAGTCTACTGCTGTACCGACAGGTGACACTAGACAGGTGACACAAGATACCACACACCCCGGGACCGATTTCCGATTTCCAAAGCTCGATTACTCTACATCGAAGAGGGCATATAGACCAATCGATCAAGTTTCGGGGAGCGCTCTCGATGAAGCGGTTGCAACTCCGCCACTTTCGGCACGCAACTCTGCTGTTGCTGTAGATGCATCGGAGAAAAATAGAGCCTGTTGCGTTCCAAAAAAGCATGGTGTGGACATCTAGACGTCACCCATGCAATACGGTACTGCATGCAGTTCGCACCATACCGAATGCTTCAACATTGGACCAAGTTTGGCATGAAGTAAATTACAATACACGTTACTCAAGCTACCGCTGTCGGGTGGACGACGACGATACGCATGTCACCAGCCGCTGCGAAACGCTCTCATCTTGCTGGGCGCGCAAATCAATTTCAAATCCGCACGCAGACAGATGATTTTTGAATCCTGAAAGTGCATTCGACACATCGGCAACCGTCGCACCTGATATTCCTCCCCCCTCATCTGCAGCACCACCTCCGACCTGCGTGGGAGACTTAATTTTCTCCGTGGCAGGAGGAGGAGTGGGACGAGGAGGGGTGTCCGGGAGAGAAAATTCATCGTCAGAGTCGATGATGGCGTCCAAGTCTACTGCCTCTCGACGCGGCGGCGGTGATGGACGGCTTTTGGAGAAGCCAAACAGGTCGTCGAAGAGGTCGCCACTGCCCTTCTTGTCCATCTCTTGCTACAGACACGCAATCTCCGTTCCCACCCCCCTCTGTGTGCGCGGTGCCGATCCGTTCGGCGAGAGCAGGTTGAGACAGCGGAGTTGTCTCGGCACCTTTCACAAGGTCATGCGAATAGAGGAGGTCTGCGCGCGCGACGATTGGGTCCTGATTGCGCCGCGTCCGCGTTGGCGTAGTTGCTCCTCTCCTTCGGCTATCCTACCTCCTCCCTCGCACCTCTCCTGCTGGCTCAATTGTTGAGAGCTAGCTCGCCACCACAACAACCATGACGGTGAAGAAAGGCTCCTCAACCGCGAAGGTCGCTTCGTCAGCTGACACAACCCTGTGGGAACAGCTCTTATCGCGAGGAGGTGGTCAGGCGTCTGCTGCCGCTGCTGTTACTACTGGTCCCGCTAGGGCCAAAAGCTCGAGCAGACCTGCTGTCCCCGAGACAGCAGGGAAGGCGACACCTCGTTCCGACAAGCTGCCCAAGAAGAAGCGCAAAGCTGTCGCCTCCGCAGATCCTAAAGGGGTGGGTAACTTGCACAAGAGCAACTGGGCCATGCTGGCTGCTGGAGGCGGCGCCACCGCAACTGCTGCTGCGGTAAGCAATGGGCACGCAACCACCGACAAGAGCAAGAAGAAGAAGGCGAAACAGCAGGGTAGCGAGCGACCGCGAGCCGAGATCGGGTCGAGCAACAGCAACGTCATGGCCACCACCACGCCCAACTTCTTCTCTGTCAACCGGAATACTGCCGTCTCTGGCTCCAGCAGCACCACCGGGGTCAGCGGCAAGGCCGGCAAGAAGCGTATACGGACCGCCGGCGCCGGCGTCGGCATAGGCGCGCTCACCGCGAGTACCAACGGCCATGCTCCCAACCACGTTACCGGAGGCACGCGGGAGGAGCACCCAGGGGCGAACAAGAGCACCAAGCGGCCGCGCTCCAACGTCCTTAACCTCGCCTTCCAGGCACAAAAGGAAGAGGCTGCCGCCGCTGCCGCTGCCGCCGCCGCGGGCGGAGCGAAGCACACCGGCGGAGTCAAGGGGCGAGGGAAAAGGGGTGGGTCCGAGCAGGCGTTGACGGCGGCAGAAAAGGCGCAGTACGTGGCGCTGGACTGCGAGATGGTTGGCGTCGGGCCTGGGGGCTGCCGGAGCGCGCTTGCGCGATGTTGCCTCGTGGACTGGGACGGGGACACCATGTGAGTCGCGGCACCTTGGTGCTTGACATCGTGAAACAGGGTTACGTAAGACCCTGTGGGGGTAAGGAGACATGCATGTATGTACATGATGGGTTGCGTCATGTGGTTGCTGCGTTGGCTAGGCCATGGCACGGCTGCTGCAGTTGTTGTTGGAAATCAATCTGGCTTGCGTGCATCCACGTGTACCTCGTCTACTGCTGTGTTTATTTGTTTGCCCTCAGTCTTGTGCGTTCCTTGGCCACCTTTGACTTATCCTTCGAAACGAGCGGTATTCTGAAGCTGCTGTGCCCGGTACTTTGCCAGATGCCGGACTCTATTCATGCGATTCTGCTGTCCAGATAATCTCCTGTAGAAGTTGGTACGGGGTGGGATTCAATTCGAAGCGTGTTAATTCCACCGTGCCCACAATAGCCACCACGCACTACATAGTTTTGGTACCTCTTTCCACGCGTTTCTGCCTATCCAGGCTTCACCGCCGCTGCCGAGGTGATGACCCCCCCCCCCCGCGTCCGCGTTACGATTTTCGCGACCTTGACCGCTCACCCCCCCTGTTGTTGTGTTCCCCTGTCCCAGCTACGACAAGCACGTGACCCCCAACGAGCGCGTTACAGACTTCCGAACCTTCGTTAGCGGCGTCAAGGCGAACCACCTCAAGGGAGGGGTGCGCCTCCGGCAGTGCCAGGAGGAAGTGGCGGCGATTTTGAAGGACAAGGTTCTCGTCGGCCACGCTCTGACCAACGATCTCAAGGCATGGATTAATGACTGAATGAGATAACACCAAGTAGGCCTAAATAAACAAAAGTAAATTTACCACAATATTTTCGTGCCTGCTTTGTTGTGTTTTGTTGGATTGTTGCTTTCTGTGAGAAGCTTTCGCGAGCATGTGTTTGGTCTTCGATCCGTTAGGTTTTTGTCGGTTGCTGGAAAAATAGCTCCATGTATAAACTCGCCTTCCTTCACGGCAGATGAAAGAGGGAGTGCGTGATGTTGTAAAGCCTCCGTTTCCCTTGAGCTTGTCACCCTCTTGCCCATGAGAGAGAAGGACAACCAGCCACCCAGAACAATGTTGTCGGTAGGCCTCGCGTGAGCGCTTCTTTGCACCGCACTCGGCTTTCCACGCCTCTCAAGCGCTCAGCTGTTTTCTTGCGATGCCACGGCGCTTCGACCTCCCTCAGGCTTTGATGATGAGCCACCCCCCGCGCTCTACGCGAGACACGGCAACATACCGACCGTACCAGAAGGCGCACGGTAAGGCCGGCGGCAAGCTGCGACCGAGGTCCCTCAAGCTGCTCTCCCAGGAACACCTCGACCGTCCCATCCAGACAGGCCAGCACAACCCAGTGAGTAGGTGTAGAGTATTCTTGTCCCGTTGTGATCATATAATCTCCCGCTACGAGTACCGTCGGCGTTGCCTGTGTGTAGCTGTTGGTTGTTTTGGTTAACGGTTAGCTGAGGTCTAGAATTGTTTTCGAGTTGAAAACATGTCGGGTAACCACCACCCAAGGGCGGACATCGAGAAACAGACATGCGCATGGCGACAGGTGCGGACAAAAACATGACCGCACATTTCTTGGCCCTAGAGGAATTTGCCGGCCACCCTTGTCGTTGCGGTTATGTTCGTGTTAGCAGCCGTACCGGTCTCGAATCCTACATGGTACCTTCTTACATCTGTACCGGTGCAACTGACGCGGACGACTTCCGCGGCCACAAACGAAGAACCCACGAAGCACATCCCCAAAAAACACCACAAATGCTTCTGCCACTCTCGCCCTTGTTGTATCCTCGTAATCAATGGTTTGTGCTTCCCTCCCCCTTTTCGTGCTGCGCGATAGGCGGAGGATGCCAAGGCGGCCATGGACCTGTACAAACTAGCGCGCTTCGAGTGGGAGAAGTCGCTGTCGGCGGCAGGAAAAATGCGAGGCCGAAAGAGTTTTGTGGACCAGCAAGGGCCCTAAGATGTTTCGGGCGCGGGAGTAGGCGTTCCAGTGGAGGGCGTTCAATTTTCAGGGCATGTGTGACGATTTGTGTCTCTGCGTGAAACGAGTGGTCCCGAGGAGCGACAAGGTTCTGACGCAACCAAGTGTTGAAGAGGGAATTGTCCTCGACAGACGTTGGGGAGATTGTATCTTCATGAAGGTGGTCTTCTCACAAGGGTAGTGTGTACTTTGGAACATGGCGCCAAGGACGTGACCCCCTTTGACTCGGCTGGAGTTGGGGTTGGGGCGCCGGCTGTTGCTTTCAAGAGACGGTGGCTCTCGATTGCTCTGCCATGTGTGCTGGGTTGTCCATATATGTACGTGTGCGTTCTGGCGTGGAATTTCGAAAATGGGAAAGCTGTCTTACCTAAAATGCTGCCATGGGCTGGCAACGGTAGCAGCCAGCTGTCGGCTTGTTGACAAATGCCGCAATTAGTTTGCTGCTGAACGTTGTGTGTGTTGCCTCATAGTGACCCTGTCAGGTCACAAGTACACCTACGAAAGAGAAAGTTGAACTCTCTAGGTGTGTAGGCATGCGCGTTGGCGGTGTGTTGTGTGATCTGAAGGCCACCGCGACGCTCCAAACCCCCTCAAGGCAGGGGCAGGATACACTCGCCAAGGTTACCACGATATTTTTCCGAGAAAATCCTGGCGGTCAAGAGAACAAGATACCTGCCCGCCTACGGCCGTTATTGTCGTAGACTCAGGAGTAGACCATCATGTTCGTGGGGCATCCTGTGGCGCACGTGATATAAACACCAAGTCCGAAGTCAAATGACAAGCGTTGTGATGAAAACTATCGACGTGCAGTCGCCAGAGGGAAGGTAGTCAATCGACGAACCATTTCTGGTGCGATTGCCAGCTTTTTGGAGGAAATACCGCCTCCCTCATTTTCCGAAAAGAGTGAAGCACACGAGAAATTCAGATAAAGGGGCCCCAAGCAGGTGCTGTAGATGTGTTCTTTTTCTTTTTTCGAATCCAGGAAACCTCACTGTTCCCAATCACGACACAACGAGCCTTGCGAGCCTCCTTGTTTTCCTTCGATGAACACGAAAATACGCAAACACTACAGCACTCCACACTCCGGCCATGATCCTCAACATCCTTCGTACACCCCATCCTACCACATTCATCCATTCGCCGGATTGGCGGAGGTCGGGCCCTCACAACCGGCTTGCGCCACGACACCTGCCGTACAACGGCAAAACGTAACTCAACCCCTCTTCGCGTTTTGCGCCTGCAGTCGTCTCCGCGCGGCCTTCGCTTCAGCCTTAGCCCTGTTGGCCTCCTCCTGCTCCTTCTTTTCTTTCAGAGTAAGGGGTTTCTTCGTTTCCAGCCCCGGGGTAGTCTTGGCCTTCTTGTTGCGGTTGCCGCTAAGCGGGGACGGAGCTTGCTCTGGGTCCACGTCCATCTGTGGAGAGGGGTTGGGGCGAAAGTTTGGCTCGGGAAGAAATTCCTCGGATCGGCGGCGACATGACGCCTTGGGAGTAGGGAGCCGCAAGGGCAAGCAGCGAAGTGAATTGGGCAAACAGAGACAGGCCACGAAGAAGAAGAGACTATCGATATTTCAAGGCACGTGCGAGAAGAAGGTGGCGCGATTGGCATTCCGCACAGGTAGTGTTGATGCACGGCACAAGTTCCGAGTCATACCTGGAGCACATGACACTTTTCTCTGCGGCGCCAGCCTTGTCTCGCCGAACGACAATTGAATAATACCCTTATGTACCGATCGGACGGTCATGTGCACGGCAAAAACAAAGTGGGTCGCGCCAGACTATGTAGGTAGGCACACACGAAAAATCCACGCAACAATACCCGCGAGGCAAGCAGAGAGAAGGGGATCTGACGTCAGGGGTAAACACCCAAAAGGCCTAAAGTCGTTGGAGAGAACGAGGTGGCGAACAAGCATGGGACGGTCCTCGGGAAGGGCTTACCTCGCCCGCTTCATCGTGGACTGGCGGTTCTGCGTGTGCTTCCCACTGCAGGTTGGGGAGCGTGTTTTGGTATTGGAAGGGCGGCAATCGCACCCCGAACTTGTCGGGGATTACCGGCAACGGTATCCGGTTGACCTCGTCGGCCTGTCGTATTTGGTCCTTAGGAGAAGGGCAGGCGAACAGATTCACGCACAAGACGTGAGAAAATATATAACAGCGGAGTCCTGCAACATTGCCAGAGGGTGGGGGAGTGGGGGTGTGTACTCAGAGCCGTGCATGTCGTAGCCATTAGACCATTGACCTCGCGTTCCTACAAAGCCGAGACGAAGCACGCCCGTTTTTCACTGGACCAGGTTTGTCACATGACCATGCGGGCCATTCGCTATTTGCTTGACCAGTACGGGTATGGATTCGCGCGCGTTAGATTGCTCAACCAACAGCCCCCATGGCGGCAGGGCCTTGGAACGCCATTCATGGACCCCGAAAAACGGGTGGGGATAGAACCCTGTAGCCAACATCGGGAAACATTTCTTGCGTCAAAAGTGGCAACTGCACCACCTCGTAACATGCGGCGCAAGCGCAATGTGGAAACGCTGGCCCATGTTGTAATGGGTTTGGCCACTGTCCGGGTGCGGAGTTTTGCGAATACGGCAAAAGGGCCGTTCCCGTACCTCTCGTGAGGGAGGGCCGGCGGATAACGCATCCTGCTTCTTGCGCACGGCTAATCGCACGTCCTGCATGCCGAGGTCGGTTCTCCCGGCGTGGTCAGCGTAGTCCCTCGCATCAATCAACACCTCGCGCGTATATCCTTGCACAACGAGAGTGATCAGGCCAGGTACGTTATGCGCGTGCATGTGCGTATGGTTTGATTGATTCGGAGAAAGGTGTGTGTGCGCAAACTAATTGACAAGGCAAGTCCAACGTCCGCAAGCAAACTGTTGTGAAACCGAAAGAAAACAATAGTGAATATTGGGATGCTTGGTACGTAGCGCTTCCGCGTGAAACCGGTGCCGAGCCCGCACACGTCACTGGGCACGCGTCGTTAACATTCGACCAAGACCACCAATACCGCACTTTGCTGCTGCTTGTGAAACAACCTAACTTACTGCGCATCCGATCCACCAGGTGGCTCACCACCCTAGGCTCGTAGGATGTCACCCCTGCATCCTTAAGAAGCTGTAGCGCGGAGAAGACAACACGATGCATTCGACGCGGGCAAGAACGAGGGAGGAGAGTCTGGGTACGGTCAACAACCTCCTGTTGTAAAGGCCACGGTGGACAACAGGCAACGCGCGGGGTGGATCGAAACCCAGGGGGGCGCATCGCTTGAAAATAATATGGGGCGGTTCCACCCGAAGAAGCCGTTCTTTGGAACCGGAGGAGACCAACGAAAAACAGAGGATGTTATGTTCAGCAAAATCCATGCCCGTTTCTCAGCCCAAACTTAACACCACCTCTTTATGGAGCAACTCAGAAGCGTCCGCTCGCTTCGCGAATACGTACGCTAAGCTAGATAAAAAAAACACGTTGCCACAGACCCGCTACCCTAGAGCCCCCATTTCCAGAGGGAGCTATCCCGATGGAGAGAGGGACCGAGCAGCAAAGTTAAACCACATGTCCAAAATTGACCACGCGTAGCATACGTATATGACCCGCCAAAAGTCGAGTTCGCACTCACGAACCAGAGCAACTCTTGCAACTGCTGTACTTGGCTTGTCCATTTTCTGTAGGAGTTCTGCACAACCCACCACGCCCTCAAAGCACGCTTCAGAACGCACGAAAGACAACGAACGAACTTCAAACCAAGGCTACAGTAGGAAGCCCGTTCCTCCGGTCTAGGGGGTAAAAAGGGGGGCGGGAAGGACAGGGGCACTCGTTCCAAAATTGCAAGATACAGTACCCACATACAGAATGCGTATGACAGCAGTTGTTAACAAGCGGAGGTTGGAGGTGGTTTGTACGAGTCAGAGGTCGAGGGAATACATTGGAAGTAGTTCGTGAAGAGCCTCTTGGGTGATCGAAGTACTGCTGTCACATCGCATGAGCCCAAAGACAGGGAGAGAGCGGGGGGGGGGGGGGAGAAGGAGACTGGGAAGAGGTTTGGCAGCTAGGAGGTAGGCTGCGCCGCTGGATTGTTGTTGGCTATGCACATAACCACACACGGACTGCAAAGCTACATGCAATATATTAGCAGGTGTAGCACGAAAGGAAGACAAAGAGACGTGTACAGCAGTACTCGGGCGAACCGCCACCCCAGCATGACATGAAGCTGGCGGTGGGAATTACATGACGTCAAAGGTTGTTGTGCGCTACGTACTCTGTGTACTGCCGGTGCCTATGCAAGGGATGGTCTAAAAGCGAGAAACCCCAAACACGAAGAACCGAAATTCGCAGTACCAACCACTACGAACAGATTTCCACTGCAACCCCTGCTGTCAACACTACGTACATGGTACACACTCTTCGGCTGGCCGTGGACAATTCTGCCCGGGGTGCGGATGATCAGCAGTCATAATGCAGCGAAAGCAACAAAAAGTTGTACAACACCGACCCGTACCCTGACAATCGATTTCTCGTCCCGCTGGTCCAAAGCCGCCTTTGTTCGGGCCTGGGCTTGGTGGAGAGGCTCTCCTGACAACAAAATCTTCTTCGATTTAGACGCCATGCTTGCTGTGGTAGACACGAGTGCTGCGCTTCTGTCTTGTGCGCCGCAGCCGGCAAAAACAGACCGGTCGCGGGGGGTCCGCGATGTAGAAAAGCAACAGGCAGTTTGGGGCGGTAGCGGGGGTGCCGCAAGGCTGCCCGTGTTCCGCCGTTCCGGCCCTGCACTGTGCTGTGCTGCGGCGGTGCAACCACGTCAGCACGTTTCAGTATCAACCTACAACCTACCTGCATCTGTGGTCTCTCGCTCCCCTTGCAGGATCCCAAGCAACTGGCAGTCAGCAGCAGCCTAAGAAGGGGTAGAGGCGAGGCGGATGCAGGGGGTTGAGCTCCAGGTTGGGTCGTCCTACCACCCCCTGGCCCGTACAGCAGGCAACAACAAGGTAGGCCGCTTGTTGCCGCGTTTCAGAAGCTGAGACGCACTTCAACTTCTGTTGCTTGATGTTGGATTCACCATCCACCATGCGTTGTAGCACTTGCGTGGTCCAAGGGGAGTGGCTGCAACGGCCGGTTACCAGGCGCTTGCTTTTGTGTGTGGTGATCGGACTGTTGCAATATTTGTCTTGGTCTGTTGCGCTTGGAACCGCGCCACGAAACAAAGAGCTCGAAACGCTCAGGGCGAGGTCAGTGTTTGTGTATGCTCTCTCGGTGCCGGGCGATACCGCCCGAGCCGTTACGCTACATGGAATGCCAGCAGGGCAGGATCCGCATGAGTACTTCGTGCTCTACAACCAGGAAGCGAGTTGGGGCGGGGTTGACCCTATCAAGTTCCAGTTGAACTTGGAGGGCATGTGCCGTTACGTGGTTTCCGAAACGAAACTTTGTGCTTCGCACCACGCTGGCATGACTGATAACTGATAACTCAGGGTAAAGTCGAGGTCTTCTCCCCAACTCACTGCGAAGACTGTCAGCACATCCCCTTCGACTGCTGTGGTATAATCTCGAACGGATAGTGTTAGTGTTTTTGTGAATTGTAGACCAGGAGTGCCAAGCCGTCCAGGCTGCAGGCTAGCTACTGCAGTCCAGTTGTAGGTTGCGAATGTATGGTTGACACCGCTGCTGTACTTGTAGCTGTTTTTTTTCGACGATACTTGCTTTGTTTCCAGTGTTCTTTCCCTGTATCCTTCAGTGCTCCTAACCCTAACCCAAGCACCACGATTGATGTGCGGTCAAGCGTACCGTGGATAATGCTAGGTTGGCGTGTGCACTGGCCACAGCAGTCGCGGTACGCTACGCTACACAACAATATTTTAGTGCGTGTGACAATCGTGTTCCGAGATGGATACCACCCACTCGCCGACGCTGAAGTCGCACATTGACACGTCCACGCACTTAACCAACACATCTTAGCAAGCACCCAAAGGCCAAAAAACCGGAACCTTAGCCTTCGGTCGGTAGGAGTTTTTCGAGAGGTCGCTCCGCCCGCCATCTTCGTTGCTGCTGCAGCAGCAGCAGCGAGGTGAAAATCTGCCTTTCATTTTGGCGCCACACGTGCTGTGACGGGCCACAACAGACCAGGCTGCACAAACACGCGTGCGTCCAGCAGGGGGCAGATGATAAGCAGGCTGCACAAACATGCGCCCATCAGGGCAGATGAAACGATGAAACATTCACGATATACAATGGTTGACGAGAACGAGAACTATATTTTCCGCGTCAAGACGCCAAGGCGTTCGCACTACTCTGTATCACTGAGGTGTTTCATTTTGAGAGGTGATGTACGGCTGCCGTGGGTGTTGCATGTCGGTAAGCCTAGCACCGAGGTGAGGTTGCCCGGGAAACGTCAGAATGCCTGTTCTGTCCTCGTTCAATACGTATAGACCCAAACAAAGCACTTAAATGTTCAACAGCACGACAATATGGTAAGATGGACAACAACGTAGTCACCATAGGAATCACGACGTCTTGTACCATACCACGGTATGGTTCTTATACCTCGTCTGGTGATTTTTCAGGCAACCGATGGAAATTCTATGCATGTGACACCCCGGGACCGATGTTCAGAGCCAGATCACCCAGCAGCAGAAAGAGTGGCGGCACCGAAAATGACGGGCGTTGGAATAATCTCGTCGAGAGCTCGCCTAAGAACCATCCCTCGACAACAATCGTTGATGCAATTATGTACCCGACTCGATTTTCGAGACATTGGTGTTTTCGGCGAAGCGCTTGATGGACAAAAAAATCACACGAGGGCGGGATGGCGTCTGTACATGCAGGACACCTTCGTACCGCCAATATTCAGTGGCCCATCTGTTCAGTTCCGCACAGCTTTACCAACCTCCTCCTCCGTTCCCCCAACACCCGATTGTGGCAATGTGTTAGGGCCACGAGCAAGAGCGCCAGGAACAGGCATCGAATCCGCAAGAGCAACAAGAAGAGGGAGGCGTTCCCTCCAAGAAGAAGCGTCGGGTGGGGGACAGGAGGCTACTGGCAGCTGTAGCAGCAGCAGCAGAACCGGCGGCATCATTGACTTCACAAGAGGAAGAAGAAGTAGGACTCTCTGACGAGCTTTTTGACGGTTACGGCCTGGAAGAAGTGCACGATGCCGGAGGTGGGGTGGGAGGACACGGGCTTTCCCTAGGAATTGCGGGGGAGAGCAACAACGGGGAGTTGCACGAGAACGGAGGCGGGACTGTTCAAGGGTGGGCGCCGCCGGGGCTCGGCGTTTGCCAACTCTGGGCTCAGCAAGCGTCCTTGCTGAAACGCAAGAAGGGTGAGTTTATCCTTAATAGGTTGTTAGATGTTGGTGTTGGGGCCCTGCCCCACCTCATGTCACGCGTAGTTTCCGACCGACTGCCGTTTGAAAGCTTAGGCTTCTCGTGATGTGTGTAATGTAGGCCTTTCGGCATGGCACGTTCGTGGCTGAATAGTTTTCGGTGCAGCAGTATTGGAGACTAGACAACACAAGCAAATGCAACAACAACAACAACAACAGCAGCAAGCAAGACATGCTGGGCAGTTCGAACAGAATGAATGTTTAGGCGAGGGGTCAAGACAACAACAACAGCACCAACAGCAGTAGCAGTATAATTATCGACACCCTCGTCTCCCTCTCGTGCCTCCTCCTCGCCGGCCCGCCCAGCCTCCCCGGTCGGCCTCGGTGTCTCCGCTTCCTTCTTCTCTTCCTCCCCCTCCCCGTCATCCTCTTCCGCGGAGCCCCCTCTGTCGTCCTCGGCCGGGAAGCGGCAAGCCACCGCCGTCGGCTTCAGCGTCGACGACGCCGTCCCCGTGTCCCGGGACGACAAGGCAAAGCTTGTCGGCGGCTACCTGGGGTCCGCCAGGCCGGGCTACGGGGACAAGACTCGCAAGCCGGTCTGGTGGGCGGCCGAGGTGCCCTGGCGGAAGGGAGTGAGCATCAGCCAGGTGAACGCATTCGATTGGTTGTCCTCGTCATATTGTAAGGATGAGGTGATTGCCGTTGCTGACACAAGATACCACACCCCCTAGACCGATTTTCGAAGCTCCACTACTCCAAGAAGAAGAGAAACGTCTCGAGGGAATGGTTCCAACGCCGCCATTTTCGGTACTGTCACTCTTCCGTCTGCGGAGTAATCGAGCTTTGAAAAATGGCCCAGGGGGCGTGATATCTTGTGTCACCTTTGGTACCCACGCGAGAATGGGCGTCGGCCATGGGGCTGGGTTTCGAAGAACAGCAGAACAGCAGTAGTGTAGGGTTTGACTGCAGTAGCAGGTTCCCTGGGAAGAAGCTGTGAGCACAAACGCACCAAAATCCTGACACGTCATTTTCATCGTATTGCCCAATGCCTCTCTTGGCGCGGAAAAAAATACAGATGAACAACGCCACCCTCCACAAGCTGGTCGTCGCTGTCAAAGCGCACCAGAGGCAGGAACGCCGCGAGGCCCTCGCTAGCGGCAACGGGTTCGTGCCCGACAGCGGGCTGCTCGTGTGCGCCCCCAAGACCAAGAAGGAGATGTCGCGCCTCATCCGCTCCATCCAAGGTCAGTCCGCCAGTAGGTTCGTCGTGGTTTCGCCTGTTGTTCGTTCTACACGCTTGCTGTAAGAATAAAAAAACGAGACATATGATAGCCAACAACACAAGCATTCCCGGTTTCGGCAACCAAAATATGGCAATCTCGTCGGTATTACACCTGTAGAAGGTGTATTTCGTGTTGACATGCTTCTTCGCGAGCTTGGCTCCTAGTCCACGACCTATGGGCGTATGCTGCAACCAAACAACAGCGAGAAACAGCCAACGACACCGATATTCCCGTTTTCTGCGGCGAAACTGTGGCCATCTCGGCGTACCGCATGCTGAGCCCGGCCTTGTGCACTATGGAAGTCCCATGTCTTCGCAAGCGGACACAATTTTTTCGAAGAATGTCACGGGGTCTTACTAGCATCTCGTTCTCCGCTGTTGGTACACAAACCGTGCGTCGAAGCAGGCCGCAGACTTCAGTACGGGAAGGACGGCAAGCGCCCTCCCTGGTGGCCCGCAGATGCTCCCTGGGACAGCGACAGGCCGTTGTCGACCATGAAGCACGGGGAGGTGACGAGTATCTTCAAGGCCATGTGAGTGAGAGGGAGGGGGGGCGCAAACTCTTTGCCCATGCTTGAAAAACGCAGCGGATCAGTACGGACAGTACGGAGGTACTGGACTGAGAGATCGGAACGGTTTTGAATGTGAAGACAGCAGCGACAGTAACAAACACACCAACAACACAGAGAAACTACCGGAGCAATGTGTTTTTGCCGTTGAAGCTCGCACGACGCCGCCCTTTACTCTTGCGAAAACATGCTTTGCTAAATGAATACCTCCTTCCAGGCGGACATGGACCTGGCGTATCGCCCTTCCGAGTGTTGCCCCTGTATGTTTGCGAGAGCCAAATTCGTTGAAAGTACATACACATGGTTTACACACGCACTTGGAAACCGGAGCCCTCAAAGCTGTGTGTCGTGTTTATAGTTTCGTTTTGCTTCTCCTCTCCCCCCGTCGCACCTTTGGCAATGTAGGAAGGAACGATTGGCCATCGATGATCGTTCCTACAATGCTCCTTCCCTTTTCTCGAGGACGCGCGACCAATAGCCTAACCGCTGAGGCATGCAAAACACGAGTATGCCCTCCCTCGCGAGTTCACGATGGCCACACGACCGAACCAATTCCCCGCCTTTCGTTTATGAACAGGATTCGCGAAGGGCTGTTGTTCGACACGGACAGCGGCGGCTCCTCCTCCTCCTCCCCCTCCTCCTCCTCCTCCTCCTCCTCCTTTTCATCCCCACCTTCGTCAGACTCGGACTCGGGAAAGAACGACAGCCTCGAAGGTCACCAAGACCTCCTCCTCGACAAGACCGGCAACGACAACGTTGTGAACGGCGATGTGGCCTGGGAGGAACGCCCGAACCACCACCGCAGCGGTAGAAGCGGCTTCTTGGGCGGCGACACGGACGGTGGCGGCTTGTTGGAGAGGCCATCTTCTTTGCTCGCCATGGCGGAGACACACGGCCACCTGATGCCTGCGGCGGCCTCGTTTCTGCCCCAGCAGCACCAGCACCAGCACCAGCACATGGTGGCGGGAGAGACCTCCCCCAACATGTTCTCGGTTGGTTATGACATGGCGGAAGCCGAATTAAGCCTGGGCGACCTGTGATGAGAACGAATCAACTTGTTTACACTCGATCAATCCCGTTTTTGTTCCTGAAACCGACAAGATTAGTTGGGTGAGGGGAAGGTGGGGATGGGGTCGGGCGGGGTTTTTTTTTCCCCCCGGATGTATAAATGACGCCAAGTTCTTGTGATAGATGCTTCCTGTTTGCCTCGTGCGCAGAAATCATGCGATCTACGAAATGATCTACCGAAAAAGGTCATATCCGCGTTGGGTATCAGACGTTGTCTTCCAGTTGCGTGATGGGTATCTGTTTTCTTTTGTGAACCCTTTCGTTGTTGACATGTTGAATAGTGTTTTTCGGATTTGATCAGTTGGAGTCGGATTTCATTCCCACGACCTCTAGCCGCGATTCATCAGAGGTGGTGTACACCGGAGCTCTGGGTTTGGAGGCCTCATGTACAGCTCGGGAGCAAGCTGTGTTTTTCTTGATTGTTCGGCGGGCTCGGAACTCGTTCAAGGCTTAGAAATCGATCCGTGTGGGTAGGATATGCCTGTAGGCAGTTGTATACTCCGTAGTTGTTGGTCTTGAGAGTCAATCCAGTCTGCTTCTTCACCGCCTTGTTCATTTTTTGCGGAGGAGCCAATCGCTTCGCTATGGCTGGCCACGTCTCGCTTTGTCAAGAAGGAGTTCGTGTTTTCGATGACAACGGTGGTCCCAATTTTGCACCTAGACAGGGACACACCGATGCAAGACCAATGCAAGGAGGGGGGGGGGAAGGAGTAGGGGTAGATAAATGAAATTTTGCTTCGGTTGGGGGAAGGGAGGGTTGCACCGTGTAAGAAGCGGTCACAACTTTGTTGCACGAAGCGAGGTCCAGCACGAGTAGCGGATGGCTGGGGTTCCAATTTTGCGCCTGGATAGGGACGTACGTAAGGGGGTGCAGTGCAGACAAAATGCGCGAACAAACGGGGGTTCAGTTCACTCTTGTTGGTTTGTCCTTGGCAATGGGCCGGCCGTTTTGTCACACACGATTGGGGGTTGTATTTTCGGTGGTTATCCCAATTTTGCTCCTAGAAAGGGACACCGAGAAATGGAGAGAGGGAAGGGTGGGACAAGAGAGAGAGAAAGAGAGAGCATATGCATCGCACACGCGACGGACTCTTTCGGTTGTAATTTCGGTTGGGTAGTGTGCTCGTTCGCCACGAAAATGTCGAAATGATGTCGCACTAGAGGAGGTGGGAAACGAGTAGTAAGTTGTGGATGGCGAGAGTCCCGATTTTGCGGCTAGACAGGGGCGGACGCTAGGTGTGGAAACGGATACAGCATCCATCGGAATCATTACAGACGTGGGGTTCACTTCAACCCTGATTGTTCTTCGGCAGATGAGGCGTATTTTTGTCGAATGCGGCGGAATTGCAATCGATGGCGATGGTGCCAACTTTGCGCCTAGCCAGGGGCGGGCGTGGAGGATGCCCGGAGGGGGGACGTATCGTGGCAGTGAGTGGCACAGAGAGGGGACGAGCCACACACGCCTTGTTTTATTGAGTTTTCGTGGGAACTTTGGGATTACTTCACTTGGATTCTTGGGAGTCATTTTTTCGTCTTCATATGGACACAATTTTGAAAGTGTAGAGGGCATCGGGGAACGGATGGTTTCAGGCGATGCTTTGTTAGGTGTAGCTTGTTGATTTTCGATGCTCCTATGGTTGATCAACCGACCGTCGCACGGTGAACGATCGTTTGTGGTGCTGTCTCGGAGGTGCGCAAAAAGTTAGTGCAGTTTGTTCGAGGTGCGTGTGGAGCATGTTTTTCCACTTGTGGTTTGTTGTCGGTGTGGTAAGAGGTTGAGCGGATGGCGAAACATTTCCAACAAGAGGTTTTGGTGTCGCCCGTATTTATTTTTGCTTGTCAGAACACAATGTGCAGCTGAGAGTCCTACAGGCCTTATTCAACGCTTCCCTTTCTACAGAATGGGCGTAGATTGGGTTGCACCATTTCCCACAATATTTGATTGTTTTGTTTGCGAGGAGGAAGACTTTGACAGCATTGATTGGTGGACTCGAAGCCAACCGCAAAGCAATATTTGTATCTCCCTGGGGGGGAGCGTGATATGTGTCGTTCTTCACTCGGGTACTGCTGTAGTCTAGTCCCTATTTCCGATCGAATATAGTTTATTGACGGCAGAGGAGAGGCAAGGAAACCACGTTTTCAGGCTGACAACAAGAATAGGCCGTTCGCCTCCGCTTCTTCGGGAGGGGTGGGGTGGGACTGACTTGGGGGTAGGTGTTTCGACGAGAGAGAGAGAGAGAGAGAGAGAGAGAGAGAGAGAGAGAGAGAGAGAGAGAGAGAGAGAGAGAGAGAGAGAGAGCAGTTTTGTCCACTCGTGGTTCACGATGCATAAAAAAAGAATGAGCTGTCGACTTGGAGAGAAAGACGCCCGAAGCTGGTCAATGAGTCACTTTCTGCCGGAAGATGCTCGGAGGGCGGTTGAAAAGAAACAGTGCTTCGTGCCTGCATCTTCCTCTTGCTGTCGACTGATGCTACCGCGGTAGGCGGGCGCACTTTTTGGGACGAAATCTACAACAACACGAGTACTTCACTCTGGGAGTAGTCCCGTTTCGGTGCTCGTACAGCAAAATAGGACGCGGCCAAGAGGTTAACGTTGAGTGTGTCTCCCAACCCGAAAGTGAAAAATGAGGTGACCCCCCTACCGTAGCATCCCTCTGTCTGCTTGGTGTGCATACAGCAGAAGGGATGCGACGGACGCTGCCGCTGGCGACGAAACATATGGGATTTTGTCCGATTTCACCAAGATTTCACGGACGTTTTTTTTTTTCTCTTTGTTTGTGAAAGAGAGGCGATGGAATTTGAGATCTGTGCGAACAAAATTACGTTCCGTCCACCTTTAAGATGTGTCGCCTCGGGTGATACGGAAGGTTTCACGCCACTGCTGCTGTGTCGCATGGCACAAGCACACATGACCACATTTGACATCATGTTATATGGGGGTGACGGGAGATCAATGGAGTGTGTGGCATAGGCATGCACCCGACAATATTTTTCCGCGAAACAACGACCACAGCTCCGCCAAACAGCAGAAGGAGTGCTGTTACTGCTGCTGTGAGTGCTGCTGCTGCCCACGCTAAACGGGACCTACAAACGAGGAACGGTGTATTGTTGATCACCTCCAAGCTCCTTCGTACCCGTGGAGCTCGGCGGGAGTTTTTTGCTTGAGAAGGCCTGCATTATTTCCAGTGCTGTTCCAGGTAGAAGCAATCAGCACGCGGCCGGTCGGAAAGAACGGAACACACCCCTTGCTCACAGCAATACAGCAGCAGTAATACACGGCGATGCCGGGCCCTTTTTCTGTCGCTGAGGACCCAGGAGACTTCCACATCTTCAACGTCCACCATGGCTTTCCGGAAGGGCTTGTGAGGGGTTACAGGACCGGGTTCCTTACGGACATGGTGAGTCAGAGTCGGTTGCTGCTTGTGCAAACCTTTTCGCTGCGGGGCCCGGTAGACTTGCTGCATCTCCACGTTGTCGTCAGCCGAGCATCATCGATTATACACGCACTCACACCCTCGCTGCTCCGTCGGGGTAGTTCGGTAACTTGTGAGGGCTGACCGGGCGCAAGAGAGCGGGTCATGTTGGATTGTTGCAGAGCATCCAGTGCCCCTTGTGTATGGTGTTGTTCGTACAAACAGTGCTTGTTGCTGCGCGGTTCCGTAGCATGCACTTTTCCGTATTTCGAGCTTCGCGCATAAGAGTCTACCTGCTGAGTACCAGTGACTGTGGACTGACCGTGCTGGCTCGTATATGTAGTGCGCGAGGACGTTTCGGAGCCTGCATTGTGTGCATGTTTTTTTTCGATCTAGCTGGTACAAGTTGTGCTGATGTATCGCGGTATGGTGTGCGGCAAGATGACTATTAATAGTTGCTCCAGGATATACTTGTGTTTGGACACGGCAGAGTTCCCTCAAAATATAGTGCCCGACAGGAGCGCCACGCCCCCTCCACGCGCAAGTAGTTCGAGGTCGAACCCATTACCGTATATGACACAAGATAACACACCCCCTGGACCGATTTTCAAACCTCGATTACTCCACGACGAAGAGGATGCATAAATGAAACAATACGTTTTCGAACAGCTCTCGACGAGACGGTTCCAACGCCGCCGTTTTCGGCGCTGTGACTCTTCCTGCTGTTGAGAAATCGAGCTTTGAAAATCGGCCAAGGGGGTGTGTTATCTTGTGTCATATACGGTACACAACGACTGCTACTGCTGTAGCGGCAAAGGAGGAGCTGCTGTGGTGCAGCGTGAATGCGTGTGTGTTTCTCGTATGTTGACTTCCTGTAGATCGTGTGTTGATTCCCATGTCGAAGGGGCGGTGAGACATCGACTCCCGGTGGGTGTTCTTGCAATGTTGCTGTGCGCTGATTGTCCAACCAGTACGCTCGCTGATGATAAGAGTACTTCCTGCTCTCCGGCTACCGCCTCCTGTTTCGCCGGTTGTGATAGACTTTACACCACTATCTTTGCTGCACATGAAACACAATGCAACGTTCAACATGCACACCTTCACTATTATAGTGAGAGACGAGAGGGGGGTTGAAGAAAGTGCCGACTGTTATCGCAGACGTCATTTTACCATCAAACGTAGAGGCGAGCTCCACGGCTCGCACACCAAGGCAAGGGTGCAACCGAGAGTCCACCGGTGGAACATAAGCGAAACCTGCAACTCCGCCTAGCACGGCCCAAACGCGCTGCGCATATGTCCAGTCTTAATCCTTTGGTCGGGGTTGGCGCTCACCTCGATCGGGACACCCCGTTCCTTTCACCCTCCGCTTGATTCCGTTGCTGTTGGCCGGCTTATCATGGCAAGTCTTTTTTTTTGTGGCGTACACGTAGCGCCCGCACTCAAGAACCTGGCGGCTAAGAACTCCATGCCCAACATTTTGTCAAACATCAGAGCCTGAGCACCATTATTTATGAACTTTACCCTTAGAAACTATATAGGGACGATTTGTAGCACACAAGAGGAGCTATTATATGAACCCCAGCCTCTGCCAAAACTGGAGGTTCTGGAGTGAGGGCGCTATCTATGGTCTACCAATCACTTGCCAAGCTCGCACGAAGTTCTCGGCCGACTGCTAGTAGTTTTTTAACTGTGCCCTGTTGTTGCCTGTGCTTGTCGAGGTAGGTTCGATTTCGAGATTTTGCGGTCTGGTTTGTCGTGAAAGTGGCGAGGATTGCACGGTTCATCATGCGCGCAAAGGCCGTAATATATGTAGGAACACAACAATAACAACATCATCATCACGCAGGGGTTCATGACTGCTGGCAATTGAAACGGCGTAGATAAGGGTTCCAAACTACACATGTACGTACACAACGGTTACAGGCCCCCGACTCCCCCCCCGCCAACCTCCACCTACCTCTCTCGCCCTCGCTTGCTGTCCCTCGCTGCCAGGACTACAACAACCTGTGCCAGTGCGAGTCCCTCGAGGACGTGAAGCTTAACCTGCAAGAGACGGACTACGACCAGTTCCTCTCCCAAGAGAACAAGGTCACCCCGGCCGCGTTGCAAGAGAGGGCCACCAAGAAGCTGGTGGGTGTTGGGCGGTAGCCGGAATGACCCTTGCCTTTTGTTCGTTGGCGTTGGCGTAGTATTCGTGGTGGCTGTGAGGGTGACCCTGTTGGTGTTGGTGCTATCATTGCCGTTACTGCTGTTGCTTGTGTTGCAGCTGATGGGCCTTTGGGCTCTCTCCCGGAAAGGAATCGCCGCGGTGTCTATGCGTACATCGTCAGCACTCCTTCCCGTATAGAGAGACGCTGCTTGGCTGCGTTTTGGGATGATGCTGCCGCCAGGACCCGGCCGCCGCTGCTGTAGTTCGGGCCCTCTTTGAGAGTGGAATATCGACTTTCCCCGCCGAGATGTGACTGCCGCGCGTGTTGTCCCCTCGTCCTCCTGTGACTTCCGTGGTCTTGTCCTGCCTGTGCCGCTGAACTGTTTAGTTAATCCGGAGGCATCCGCCAACACCGCGCTGTTTTCTGTGTTAAACCGAGCACAACGTGTCTACTGCTGTTGGTGGCCATCCGGTTTGTCTGTGTCAAGCGTCTTTCTCGCCTACGCCCAAGACATGCATGGACATGCGTCCACGTCCAAACGCGGAGGTTGCCCGTAGGAGCATACTGAGTTTTATTGAAAACAACATCAACCGCAACAACAACAACGATGACCGCGATGGTACTTGCGCGTGCAGGTAGTGGAGTTCAACTTCCTCAAGGCGCAGGCGCAGGAACCGCTGTCGACCTTCCTAGAGTACATCACGTACGAGTACATGATCGAGAACATCATGATGCTATTGAAGGGCACCCTGTCGGGCAGGGACGTTAACGAGCTCATCGAACAGTGCCACCCGATGGTGAGGAGAAACCTTTTTTTTTTGCTGGTGGCTACAGCGGTAGATGCACATGCTCTTGTGGACTGTCAGTCAAGCTATGCTTGTGTGTCGGAGTGCGTCAGACAGACGTGTCGTTGCTGTCATCGCTCGTCGTGCTATGTGTCCCGCGCCTTGATTAACTCCATTGAGAGCTAAACGGAAAAATTAAGTCCCGCCAACCGGCGTACCGTCCCACTATGGGAGGGACACACTGGGAGAACATTGCAAAAGTCGTGGCGCGTGCCGACTCGTCTCGTGTAGTGTGGGGTAAAGCAAACGTTTTCGCGAGCGCGCTCGCTCTCCTTGAAATCAACCGCTTGTCGAATCGGTCGCACTCAGATATGTACATTATGAGGGACCCACGCTCCGGTAAAGCACCAGCAAACTAGCTGACCAAGGTTACAAAATGGAACATCCCACCCATCTCGTCTACAATAACCCGTCTCTGGTTTCGGAAAATCGCCTTGAAAACAGGTAGGTAACCAGAACGTACTTGCCGGTACAGACAGGGGTGGCTGACGCGCTAGCTCTTTACCGTTTCCGCTGCTGTGTTTTCGCGCACGATAGGGTCTGTTCAAGGACTCGACGATGCGGCTTATCCCGGCGTTCGAAGCTTCGCCGAAGGGGTACGCCGACCTTTACCAGACCGTTCTCGTCGACACGCCCATCGGCCCGTACTTCAGCCAGTTCCTGGAGCAGCAGCAGGAGAGGCTTACCAACGCGGCCCAGGTGGGACACGCAATCTGCACGTAGTACCCCCCAAAGAAAAAGAGAAGAATTAGTAGCCCCCCGCGTCCTCTCGAGGACGCGTGGTCAATGGTCTAACCGCTAGCATGCAAAAACACAAGAGTACGCCCCCCCCCCCGCCCCCCGCACGCGTAGGGTCGCGGGGTCTCCTTCGGGGGAAATCTCTTCATCAATAGATGGCACCGGGCAACACAGGCAGTCGTTGTTTATGGTGTTGGTGTTGTTGTGGAAGCACTTCCCTTCAACGGGCTTTGGTGGCGAGAAAGGACTCGGCTGCCGAGCAAGTGGAGGCTGTCACGACTGTGGGCAAAAACAAATAGTGTGTGTGTTCGTGTTTGTGTATGTAGCACGTCGGCTCCTTTTGACGACGGCAAGAATTCGCGTATGCATGCGTAGAGACACATTTGCTGTAGACATGGTTCCTTCCACCCGAAAGAAGAGATGATTTAGATATTTTACATTAATTTGGTTCAGCCCCTTTCCGTACGAGGGTCAAAACCGCTACTGTAGGTAACGTTTGGAAGGAATCTATCGACCTTGGGTCGTGTGATGACGCGCTTGGCCTACCTGAGAAACGTTCGCCCAACCTTCCATCCCTCTCCTGGGCCCGTCAAACCGACTTCTCGCGGCCGGCGTCATTTGTGTGCAATACTGTTAGGTCCGGGACATTCTTGAAGAGGTGGAAATCGAGATCATCAAGAACTCGCTGATGAAGGTGAGATGGGAGCGGCCACTTGGACTGCGTGCTGAAGGAAAAATAATGAATGAATGAAGTTGTCTGCCTGTGTTTTGATCAAGTTCCTTCCTTGGCAATGGGAAAAACGATTTAGTGCAGCCCCGGTCTCGGTGTCCCGTCCGGCTGCGATCAACAACAGCCGCGGCGGCGGCGGCGGCGGCAACAACAGCAACAGCAGCAACAACATGAACCTGGATGACGGATGCGCAACGAAGTTGTACTCGACCACTGCAACGAACTAGATAGTACTCCACGCCGTTCCCCTCGAATTTTAAACATTATCTCGCTGACGGGCGAAAAATCTTGTGTGTCCGCGCGTCTCTCTTTCTCTTCGTTCTCCCTTCACTTGTGTCCTCGTTGATTGCAGTTGTACCTGGAGGACTTCCACCGCTTCTGCAAGAGCGTTGGCGGAGACACGTCGACGGTCATGTGCGAGCTGCTGGTGAGAAAGCCATACTCTCTCCATCTAACCTGTTGGAATGCATGGACCACGTTATTTATTTTATTTTTTTCGTTACTTCAAGGTGGGCACGAGACGCACCCCGGCCTTGCCTGTAAACTGTTGCAAGACATTGCGGTCGTGTTGGAGGTAAATATCGGTCTTGCAACTAAATACCCCCAGAGCCCGGACTACACACAGGCCTCACTTCGACCTATTTTTTTTCTGCGTCTGTGTTGGAAACCCGGCAGGAGGCTCGCGCCGACCGGGGCGCCATCAACATCACCCTCAACTCTTTCGGGGGACCGCTGAACGAGCCGTCCATGCGCTCCACGGACCGCCGTCGGCTGTACCCGGCTATCGGCACGCTATACCCGGAGGCGACGAACTTGTTCCAGGTTAGTTGACGGCACAGATACCGCAGCAGCAGCGTTGCGGTAAGATCTTGAATTGCAGCATAATCTTGAGGAGCTTGAAACAGGCTCGAATACAGGTTCAGCAGGTGTCACTCAATCCCCACTCTAAAGGTTTGAGAACAACTGAGCATTCACCGCTTCTCCCTCCGTTTCCTATCCATTCTGCCTAGATAGTAGTTCCACCCCCCCCCCCTCTCCTGACTCCTCTTCTTTTTTTATTTACTTTTCTGGTTCTCCCCCGCTGGCAGGAAGTTGGCGACGAGTCCCAGCTAGCGGCCGTTCTGGACATGTACCCCGTGTACAGGGGCATCTGGGCCGTTCACCAGAACGAGGCGTACGGGGACAAGGTGAGGTATCACAGGTATCACAGCAGTATTGTACCCTCCTCAGCCACTCGTGTCTAAGTTGAAACTCGAACAAAAGGGGCTCACTTTGTGTGCCACGAAGAAAAACATGGGCGGGCTGCTTGCTGCTCTCTTAGGGGTTGATTCGCGTTGCTCAATTTTGTGCGGTGTTTTTGCTCTGTTACTACTTGCCAGTATTGCTTTTGTTCTGTAGCAACACTGAGAGTTGAAGCAACACACTTTCCCTGTTGTGCCACGAAAAGCATCTGTACCCGCCTCTATCACCCGTGCCTGCGACCTAAAACTTGGAACAACACGCTCCCATGTTTGTGCGTGGCAGAAAAGACCGGTAACGGCCTAGGCCACTGGTGCCTGACTTGAAACTTGAAGTGACAACACTCCCTCTGTTGCAGCACAACACCCCGCGTCGGCTCCATTTCAATCCGTGCCCGCTTGTTTGTCAACCCCTCCCGTTTTGGTGTTCACAGTCGATCGACGATGCGTTCTTTGAGAGGGACGTGGATATGCTGGAGCTAGCGTTTCAGGGGCAGATGCACTTCGGACCCTTCTACGCCTACGTCAAGCTGAAGGAGCAGGTGAGAATAATAATTTTTAACTCTGTCGGAATGATAACCGAATGAAGTACACAGTTCAGACACGAGGGCTGCCTTTGGAGCGGAGATGCCGGTAGATGCGGTTTCAACAGAGAGCGCGTTGAATGTACACTCCACTCTCTTTCGGTATTCAGCTGACAAGGTTCTCTCGTTGGTCGTAAAGTGCCAAGTGTGTCGAGACTGTTCTGGGGATGGAGGCGAACAGGTGGGTACATCCACGTACCTGTGTATATGTGTACACAAGTCCGGATACACGCGGCGACAGTGGCAGAGTTTGCCTCGTATCGGTTTGTTCGGACCCACAGAGAGGTGTATGGGTCACCCCTCGAAGGCGGTTGTCGCTACAAATATTTGTCCTCTGCGGTGAAAGAAAGAACAACAAAATAATGCTTGCATTGCCTACCCCAACTTACGTTCTGCTTGCCCTCCCACCTCGACTCCCTCTCACGCTTCCCTTCTCCTGTATAGGAAATTCGCAACTTGGTATGGATATCGGAGTGCATCGTCCAGCAGCAGAGGGACGAGATCGGCAAGTACATCCCCCTGTTCAGCGAGAACGCCTCGTGGAAGGTTGCTCGCCGCGCCGGGAGATAAAACGAGAGAGATAGAGATCGTCGGTTGCCTGTCTGCCCTGGCCGAAGCAGCGAACGATAGCAGTCTAGCTAGTTTGGTGGGACATATACCGTTGGTGTGTTTTTGCCTCCTTGTGTGTGACGTGCTTGTTGGCCTCTGTCGAGGGGGCTCCGGCGTTTTGTACCTTGGTTTGGTGCGAGCTGCTGAAGGAGAGATGTTTTGTACCTTTTTTTGGTGCGAGCTGCCGATGCTGGAGGGTAGGGAAGTTGTGGAGGGTGGGTTGGAATGGGGGATGATGTTGGGATGGCGGAATGATTCCGGATTTTTCGAGCGATGACGCAGAAGGCGTGGGACGGGAATTAGTGGCGGCGGCGGCGCGTTTTCGGTGTGTGATGGAGAACGCCTTGGTGGCCACCGACCTGTCGAGCGAGAGCAATACTTGCGGGGTAATGTCCAGCGACGGTTATTTGCGACGCATTGTCTATTATAGCGGGGGGTACGCGCCGCGCTTCCGCGAGAAGGCCGTGTGGTATCTTGCTGTTTTGTGTTGTTGGAACTCCCGGCGGCAGCCGGGAGCCGTGGCCTCGCCGCCGCCCCCGCCCCGGGGTGTTTGAGTCGTGGTGGTCACCGCCGTCAGCGCTTGTCGCCCAGAACTGTGGACGTGTCGAGGGGGCGTTAAGTTGCGGCTTGAGTTCTGGCCTTCCCGCCAGCGCAAAGTTTGTTTCTTTTTCTCCGCTTGATCTGCCAACCAAGTGGCATTGATTTGATTTGAGCATGTACTTGTTTTGTGTCCAAGCTGGCGCGGGTGACAGACGCGTCGTGCGGCTTGACAGTCCGTCATATTCGGGAGTACATTTTTCCGCGAGTGACCGCTCTGCCGAGCTGCTTCTTGTGGAACGCGGACTCCCCCCCCCCCCTGTCCAATTTTGCAGTTGGGTACAAGGTGTAGTGCCCCCGAAGGCATGGTCGGTGGGGATTTTCTTTGTTGTACTGTTTTTTTCGTTCGTTGTGTTCTCTTCTCTTTCGGAGTGTTGGACCGCGACCTCTTGTTGTCAAGTTTTTTATGACACAACCTTAGTTCTTGACCTGAAACATTCTGGGTGGGCGCAGGGGATGGGAGGGATCTCACCTGCCCCGAGTATGCGTTGAAATATAGGCAATCTTCTTCATGTACTCTTTTTTCTTTTCGTGTTAGAGCGAGACGGGCAGGTCCTGTACCCACCTGTCCTCTTGCGACGATTTTGCGGTGTGTACCCGACGTGTCTGTGTGTGTAGTTGACGCTTCAAATTCCCGGAAAAAACAAAGGTTATGCTTCTCGTAGTTGTGTGTGGACGTCCGCACGAGACGGCGGAGAGGAGCTTGCCAGGGGGCTAAAGCATTAGTCTAGGCGCGAGGCGGGGGATCGTTTTTCCGGTGGGGCGATCATGGCATCGATGTTACCCTTCCAGAACGAAGCATTAGAGATGACCCTAACCAACGAGGAACCGCCGAACGGAGCAAAGCCCCCGTCGGCGTGTGCGAACATGACACCCGTTAGCAGCGGGCAGGCTGTACAGCCGATGTTTTCATCGTACTGCTGTAGGGCTCAAGGGCGTTGGTTGGGGACTGTGACAACTACACCTTCAGAGGGAGATTCGGTTCCAGACACGACACTGCCCCTGACAACACCTTCCTTGGATGCCTTTGCGGCGCACGGAATTAGGCTTTGCAGCCGGCAGTCTCAAGAGCGGGGGTTATGACACACGCCGGCTCTGTCGCTAGAGACATTACTTGTTCCCACGCGAGTGCAGTAGGCACACGCGGCTGCCTTGCTTCATTCGCGCACGAACCAAACCACATTTACACCCCTCTTTTGCCCTCGAGGACCAGAAAGTACGAGATAAGCGTGTCGCAATGGAGATGCTGCCCGACTCAATTCCGAGAGGGAGACGGGTGACGCCCTCTCCGTACCGCTGAGCGGGCTAGAGCCACGCCAAATGCAACCAAAAATACATAACAAAGTCACGTCTCGTTCAAGCAACAAGTGTTTTGATGCACTTCAGCCGGAGATCCGACCGCTAAGTAAGTAAGGCTCAACGGCAGCAGCATGCACCACACGAACTACTCTCTTGCCACGATGTCAAGCAACCGCAACGGACACCAACAACCATAGACCGCTCCAAGGGCTACTCAACGGCGGCCCTACAGGAGGCCAATCTCCGCCACGGTGCCGTCAAGCAACCGCAACCACCACCAAGATTGCTCCCGCAAAAGTCTGCCTCGCCATGTAGTTGGGCCCGACACACACAGGAGGGTCCCCGCGAAAAAAATCACACCGTGCACCCACCCACCCCGCCGATAAGTTCACGGTGTACGTTTTTGCTGGGCTACAGAAGCTCTCCCCCCCTGCGGCCATCAACCTTACCCGGTGTCGTGGTCAGCTCGACAAGAGAAAATGCAAACAAAAGGGCACGGCCATTGACCTGAGAAAAACGAACAAAATATTGTAACAATACATTGTACCCACAGCGGGACAACACAATTTTTCAGCGGGGAGATGCGTCCACGCCGCCGTCGTCATTGCCCTCCCACAACCCCGACGACATGTCCGCCAGAACCCTGTCCGCCTCGTCCCTGCCCCTCTCGCCGCACGCCGCAAGCGCCGACTCGTGCGTCACCGCGTTGGGCGCGATGCCCCTCCACGCCATCTCCTCCAGCAGCTCGAGCGCCTTCCCCCACCGTCCCCCGTCCGGGCAGGAGCAGGCCATCAGGGCCGCGTTGTAGGTGAAGACGTTTGGCTCCAAGCCGGCGGCCGGTGCCATCTCCCGCAGGAGCTCCACCGCCTGGTCGACCGCTCCGGAGTTCCCGCACGCCTGCACGCAGGCATTGTACGCCTGGACGTCGGCGGTGATCCCGGCGCTCGGGAGCTCCCGGAAGAGCTCGACGGCCCTCTCCCACTGGCCGCCGTTGCCGCAGGCCTTGATAGTGGCGGTGTAGCTTGCGATGTTCGGGTCCGCTCCCATGGTCGGCATCTCGCGCAGCAGCGACAGCGCCTCCTCCCACTTGCCGCTGTTGCCGCAGGCCGTGATGGCCGCCGTGTAGGTCCTGTCGTTGGGGGAGACGCCCATCGACGCCATCTCTCGCAGGAGCTCCAGCGCCTGCTTCCACTGGTCCCCCTTCCCGCACGCGGCGATGGCGGCCGTATAGGAGATGACGTTCGGGGGGACGCTCAGCTCCGCCTGCATCTCCCGCAGCAGCGCGACGGCTGGCTTCCCCTCGCCCGCGTCGCCGCAAGCCTTGATGGCCACGGTGTAGCTCTGCGCCTTGATCGGAAGCCCCACCGAGGGCATCTCCCGCAAGAGTGTGAGGGCCATCTCCCACTGCAGCCCCCGGCCCAGCGCCGTCATGCAGTTGTTGTAGCAGACGGCGTCCGGGTTGATCCCCGCCTCCTGCGGCATCTCGCGGAGCAGCTCCAGGGCGGGCTTCCACTGGTACGACTGACCGCAGGCGGCGATGGCGTGGCTGTAGCTGACCACCGTCGGCGTTACCCCTACCGTCGGCATCTCTCGCAGGAGCGCCACCGCCTGCTCCCACTGCTTGCCGTCCCCGCAGGCCGCGATGCACGCGTCGTACCCCATCACGATCGGCTCGACCCCGTTCTTTTCCATCTCCCTCAAAAGCTCCAACGCCCGCGCCCAGCGCCGCCCCCGGCCGCAGGCCTTGATGGTGACGGCGTAGCACTTGGCCTCTGCAGCAACCCCGGCCTCCGACATACTCCGAAGCACAGAAACCGCCTGCTCCCCTCTGTCCCTGTCGCCGGCCGCCCGGACAGCCGCGAGGCACGTCTGGGTGTTCGGGCGAACCCCCAGGGCGTTCATCTCCTCGAGGAGGTCGACCGCGACCTCCGACTGCCCCCCCGTGCCGCAAGCAGCGATCGCCGTGTTGTAGCAGATGACGTTCGGCTCGATGCCGGCGGCCTGCATCTCGCGCAGGAGGCCCACGGCCTCCGCGCCCATGCCGCTGATCTTGCAGGCCGTCATGGCGCACACGTAGTGGATGGAGTTGAGCTCGACGCCGTGGGCCGACATCTCCTTCAGGAGCGCCACGGAGCGACGCCACTCCCTCCCCTTCCCGCACGCCTTTATCGCGTTCGTGTAGGTGAGGGCGTCCGGCGTGAGTCCCGCCTCCCGCATCTGCCGCATCACCTCCAGCACGACCTGCCACCTCCCGTCGGCGGCAAAGGTGTTGAGCACGGCGTTGCACATCACTGTGTCCACCACCCCGGGACACTCGAGGGCTTGCCTCAGGACCCGCTCCGCCTCGTCGCAGTCCCTCCTCATCCCCGCCTGCTGCAGCCGCCTCATGAACGGGCCCCGTCGGCGCCCGAAGTCCGGCGTCCTGCTCTTCTTGGCTCGCATCGACTCCCTACGCAAGCGCGCGGCAACCCACGGGTGTGGGGGCGGCGACGTTGCCGCTGCGGCCGCCGCAGCCGCCGCCCGCAAGTTCTTCGCGCCCGTTTCGAAATCAAAGCGACGTCTCATCCCGCCGAAGGCCTCTCGTCGTGGTGGTGGTGTTGGTTTTCGTCTGTTCTTTTGCTTTCGTTCCCGAGTCCCGCCGCCGTCGCCGTTGAGACCACCTGCCGAATCATTAGAGATCGGGGTTTCCCAAACGCTGGAAGGATGCGGCGGTTTTGCCTCTGCTGGCGCCGCCGCGGAGTGCTGCTCTGCGGCCAAGGTGCTTCTTCTGCTGCTGGAAGATGTGGATATTCTAGCTGAAGTGTTGGCGCCCGTTGCAAGGAGGTCTGTGACTGGTGGTGCCGTTGCTGCCACCGGGGGGGGGTTGGCGAAGCGGCCCCGCGAGGCCTGGGCGAGGCCTTTCGCCGTCACCGCGGCGGCGCGACGGAAGGTCATGACGCCGACCGAGTGCTGCGCACTCGCCTCCTGCCGGGTCAGATCCTCACTGTCCCTGGAACGACGAGAAGAGAGGGACAATGTTTTGTGTTTAGCTCCGTGTCAAGGCTATCTTACGTCTGCACTCTTCGGTGATCTCGGTGGCTGGCAGAAGCGGAGCGATTGTTCTTGATAGAGATCTCCGCCGCACAGAGGCAAGACGTTGGATGCAAACAGGCGCGGGCGTGGGATGACGTCCCGGAGACCATTGCTAGGCATAACGTGATGGCGGGGAGACAAGCGGGTGCCTAGTGAAGGGGCGACAAAGCCCGGATGCGGTGTCTGTTCTCTGCAGCTGCTGGCTCGATGCACCAACGCGAGGACCACGCGATGCTATGTACAGCAGTGCATATCTCCCATTGGAAATACTGGCTTTCAAGGCTTCCGAGCTACACGACTGCCTGCCCTACATGACCATCGTACCTTCTTGCAGGCTTCGGCCGAGGGTTGCCGACGCTACCAAAGCCGCACTCTAACGCCGCGCTGCTGGTATCTGGCCAATGCTGTGTGTTGTCTGGCTGTCTGGCGGCGGGCGCGGCGGCGACGGGGGTAGCAAAAAAACAAACTCTGCGTGCCCCCTTCTCACGTACCGACCTTGCCCATGACACACAGCACGTTGTTGTTGGTTGCAAGAGAAGGAGAGGAGCCGTGTGAGAGTCAGGGTCATTCGCCAGCTAGCCTGCCATAACAAGAGGAGAGAGAGAGAGAGAAAAAAGAGAGTCAGCATCCCGTAGACTTCATAGCCATGGCAACAGAAGCGTCGGAGGGAGGCGGGGCATCTACTCCCGATGCCGTCGCTGCCCACTACACCCCGCAAAACATCTTGATCACCGGTGGCGCGGGCTTCATCGCTTCCCACCTCGTCATACTTCTGGTGGAGAAGTACCCGCAGTACAACATCGTCGTCTTCGACCGCTTGGACTACTGCGCGTGCCTGGAGAACTTGGACTGCATCGCGCAGAAGCCCAACTACAAGGTGGGCTCAAATGAACGCCTGCTGTGGCCGTTCCCTTTCTTCGCAGATAGATCTGTACCGATCTCCAATGCACACGAGGCACGTGTTGTGATCAGGTTTGGTTGTGCTGGTTTGACTTTGATCGTCATCGGCCGCACATGGGAAATATCGATGTTGCATAGCAGCCTCTGTTGGCTGTGCCTTTCTCTCATACATTGGCAGCACATCATCAGTTCAGAGAGGAATGATTTTTGTGCCAAAAGCAGTGATGAATTTCCGACGTTGCCACAACTCTCCACCAACACCGCAGAGTTCTGTCGCTGTGTCTTGATCGCGGCATATGGTATATACCTGCTCTGTAACTACAGCAGTAGCCCCATGTTGTCTTGAGCACTACTACCAAGTGCTCTGCGGAAAGCCTTGCGCGTTGCTTGTTGTAGCCCCCAAATTCCGTTGCTCTGTGCTACAAAGCGACAATACAACGAGACAGATGCTCGTCCGCTGAATGTGGATCATACACCCAGAGAACAGGCATGGGCAGAGCTCAGGACGGCCTTCTCTCTACAGAGATGCTACATGCATCGGTAGTACTGCTGTCGTGCTGCTGTTTACGTTGTGGAGACGTTGGGGAATGCAAGAGTGGTTTGTCATGTCGAGACCAACGAGAACAGAACGGTGGTATTTCATCCTCTCATCCTGCTTGCCGTGCACACGAAGCGGCGTTCGCTTTGCGGAGGAATTCCAAACTGACTGCTGTGTAATTCAACTCCAAAATATCTTTACAGTATATAAAACATCAGTGTTTAGACTTTAAAAGACTCGAAATAAGTCCAGTACCCAGCCGGTTTCCCTCCACTCACTGAAAAGAGTCCACCACATCCCGTTCGACGGTGGGTATATCTCGAATGGGTAGTCTTTCTGTGCGTGTATTTGTTTTTCCTTAATTAAGTCTTTGGAACTGCTGTACAGACCAGCACAGACCAGCCGCTACCGACCAGTACTGGTACGCGGATCTCAGCGCATCTTAAACCAACTGCCCGAAGATTGCTGTGGATGTACCCCCGCTGTCCGATGGAAGTTATTCGGCGTCCTATTTTGCCCACGGAGATATGTTTTTCGACAGCATCTGCTGCCGTTGTTGTGGTTAGTTCAAGACATTTAATTCACCTCCGTAAAATATTCATGGTGGGGCCGAGTGTCTTAAATCTTGGACAGGGAGGATTTTGCTGCTGGCAACGATAGACGCAACACAAGTATTCAATATTCCATCTACCCTCTGGGTTCTTATTGGCTCCGAACAAGACCCAAATAGTAGTGTTGTCTGACTACGCGAGCCCGTTCTTCAGAGCGAGAAGACGCCGTCGAGCCTCTCGAGCAGCAACCAACCGACTTCTCTACCTCCCTAAGTAGACAAGCAAGCAGATAACATTACGATCGAACGGTCCATGTCAGCGTCCGCCGCCCCCGCAAACCCCTTGTTCTTTTTTGAAAAAAAAGTATATATAGTGTCACAGAAAGACTGCATGTACCCATTCGAGATGGAAGCACAGTCGGAGGAAGACGTGTTTGCAGTCTTTGCAGTGAGTGGAGGGAAAGGGAAGCCGGCTGGATGCCGGCCATATTTTTTTTTGTTTTTTGTTGTTTCGTTATTGTGTTGAAAGAGTGGACTTCACTACCTTTCGCGACTGAGTGTCAGCGATGGGTTTTTCTCAGTGTGTATCGAGACGTCATCTACCGGTGGAATCGTTATCCCTGACCATGGCGTGTTCCTGTACGTGATGCGCGGATTTTCAATACCGTTTTCTTTGCGCCCAGTTCGTGAAGGGGAACATCTGCTCGTCGGACATGGTCACGTACGTCCTGCGGGAGGAGAAGATCGACACGATCCTGCACTTCGCGGCGCAGACCCACGTGGACAACTCCTTCGGGAACTCCTTCCAGTTCACCCAGAACAACATCTACGGCACGCACGTCCTCCTCGAGAGCGCCAAGAAGGTTGGTTTGGTCTCCACCGCCGTTCTCCACGCCTTGCTTTTCGTCCTCATATGCCCTGCCAAAACCAGGAGAACAAACGTAAACAAACTACCCGTACGGGAAGTTCGATGCCCCATTATACCCCCATGAGGCTGATACAGAACATTCAAGCACCTGTACGTGGTGGTACAATATTGTATGCTTCCTAAAGAAGCAACAAACAAACTGCAAGGAATGTTGCACCACGCTTTTCTGCTGTGGACCCGCGAGGCGTTCGGCGTGGCCCCTGGGATTTTTTGTGCCTGGTTTCGACATGCACGGGTAGGTGCCTCTTCGGCAGTAGCAGAACCGACCGCTCTCTTATTCTGTGATGAAGCCCCCACTCACGGCGTCGAGAGGCGAATTTTAGGATTTGCGAGAAGCACGAAGTGTGTGCAAGTGCAATGCGGCGCCAACACCGCGTGGAGCACATCCGGCAGGTGTCCGCCTAACCCCTCGTCAGAGTGCCACGTTATTCTCGCAGCCGTACAGCTGGTGGCGGCACAGAGAAAGGCTGTTGGCACGAAACCTACGTACAGGGTTTCCCATTAACGCGTTGATGCGCCCCTCTCTTTCTGCGCCCTCGAGTGTTGGAGGACTCCTCGTTTGCGGGGACCTCTCATCGAGACTCCCGGTTCCTAACCTCTCTGTGTGCCACCCTGAGGGGAATAAACGTCTTTGGCATCCGAGGCCCTGCTTGTTTGTGTGCTTGTCGCCGTTTCTCGTCACTCGTGAACTTCGCCTTGTCTTTTTTTGTCCGTTCCTAGCCTGGTCTTTCATCGCTAAAAACACAGAGCTGTTCATCCTCATGTGTCTCTTTTGTTCACTGATGGAGTTACGTAAAGGTTTTTTCGTTTTTTCAGTGTCGACATTATCCAAAGCATCTTTTCCTGCAAATGCTTGTTCCGGCGTAACCACATCATCGAGCTGCCCCTGCACACAACCACCGATGTCGTGTTGGTTGAGCGTTGTGCCTGTCGGCTTTTTTGCCTTTACAAACCCACATTCTTGCAGTCGGCTTTTCTCTTAACAAAACCCAGGATCTTGGCAGACACCTTTAATCTTGACATAACCCACATTCTTGCAATCGGCTTTTTTTGTCTTAATACAACAAACGATCTTGGTACAATAGTCACCTTTAGTCTTAACAACCCCCAGGATCTTGGCAGACACCTTTAATCTTGACATAACCCACATTCTTGCAATCGGCTTTTTTGTCTCAATACAACAAACGATCTTGGTACAATAGTCACCTTTAGTCTTAACATAACCCACCGTCTTGGTAGTCACCTTTAGTCGTAACGTAACCCACCTCCTTGTATCTGCCGAAAACGTTTCTCTCTCTCTCTCTCTCTCTCTCTCTCTCTCTCTCTCTCTCTCTCTCTCTCTCTCTCTCAGGTGGGCATCAAGCGATTCGTGCACGTGTCCACCGATGAGGTATACGGCGAGGGCGAGCACGACCAGGAGCCAATGTTCGAGGACAACGTCCTAGAGCCCACTAACCCTTACGCCGCCACCAAGGCCGGCGCGGAGTTCATCGCGAAGGCGTACTTCAGGTGACAAGAAACGAGCGCCCTCCCCACGGGCGGGGGGGGGGGTGTACTCATGAAAAGCGGGTGCCGTAGACGGTAGACCGTTGAACCGCGCATCCCTACAATGCCGGCACGGAACGACATGCCGTGTGTGGCGGGGGGTGTACTCATGAAAAACGCCGCGTACGGTAGACGGTAGACCATTGAACCTCGCATCCCTACAATGCCGGGACGGAACGAGAATGCCGTGTGTTCGCCGACCCAGGCTGCGTTTCATGAGGATGAACCAGAAGCTGCTAGTGCCATCATCCTTTTTTATTTTTGTGCGGGGGGCACTGGTGGTCATGTTTTTTTTTGTCGCGTCACATGTAGGCCTCGCATGTCGCCGGGGCAGAGGACGGGGGTGGGGGTGGGGAGAAAAGGAGCGACCATGGCGTGGAGCGAAACTTTGGGTGTACAGGGGGGATATAAGTATTCCGTCTGGCACCGGTTTGCTGGACTGAACGGCTCCATATCTGAACGGCGTATTCATCTCAACTTTGACTGCGAAAACGACCACCGGAGCAAAGAGCGCGCTCGTTTCCGCGGCGGCCACAGAAGCACGACACCGACGGGAAGAGAAAACAACACGTCGTTTGAGGCAGGCAGTGTTCCTCTTCCCGGCGGAGGAAATAATCTACTCTGCAAAACGGTCCTGCGATACATGTGGAGCTGTTTCCCCCCCACTGGATACCTGTTTCGCCACCCTCTTGTCTTATTTGTCAGGACAAGAAAAAATAAATCGTGTGGTCTATCGGCTCGCTCTTTTTGACACTGAGGAGGATGCGGTGGTTTCACATGGGGTTGTGAACCTAAAGCTTTTTTTTCTTCCACCTTCTACCGTCTGTTTAATATTGCTTGAGTCTCTTTGTGCCACCGGTGACTGCCCGCTTGTGACTTTTTCTTTAAACGTGTACGTGTGCGTCAAAATTCAAGGTCGTTCAACTTGCCGGTGATCATCACGCGAGGGAACAACGTGTACGGACCGCACCAGTACCCTGAGAAGCTCATCCCCAAGTTCATCAACCAGCTCATGAGGGGCAAGAAGCTCACGATCCACGGCACAGGCAACTTTTTTTTTTTCAATCTCTTTTTTTGTTACTGATTGTTCGCGTTGGTTTCATGTATGAAAAACACCATGTTCCGTTTAGACTCAGACTTGCGGAATGGGGGGTACGTTGTGTTTGGTTATCGCCCGCTACCGTCCCAATAGTATTCCTCGACAAGCTTACGAGGCAGCATCGGGGGCAAACGTGGCCGTGGATGCTGGCCGCGTGGACAAGCGGTCTCCGCCAAGAACACGTGATTGTCGTTGTATGCATTGTGTCTTTGAAATCATGCACGTTTTGCTTCTGCGTACCCCCCACAATGACACACTGCTGTGTATGTACCACGGCTTCGTAAGTACATACTTTGTTTTCAGCGCGCACCCTAACAGAGACACTGCCGTTTCACCAATCATGTGTGCATATGTACCATTGCTTCTGCCTACCTCCCACAATAACACTGCTGTTTTCCCGCGATATGTGCGCCGGGGGTTCGTGAGTCCACGAAATGTTTTGCTTTCTGCGGGCCCCCACACAGAGACAATGCCGTTTCGCCAAATTCTGTGTGCACGCTGCTGTGCCAGGGAGCAACAAGAGGAACTTTCTCCACGTGGCCGACGTCGCGACGGCCTTCGAGAAAATCCTTCACGCGGGGGTGGAGGGAAGCATCTACAACATAGGGGGCACGAACGAGCACTCGGTCTTGAAAGTCGCCAGGGACCTCATGAGGTGTGTGTATGTGCGTGTTTGTTTATGTTCGTTCCTTCTCTTCTGGCGCCAATCACACGCCTTTCGCTGGGGGAACCACGCTTTTTGTTGCACGCTGGCTTCCTACTCTGGTATCGATCTCGTCGCTCGCAGGTGCCTGTCTGTCTCCCCGCCTCGAGCGACGTTTTCATGCTTTTCAGGTTCAAAGTGGTGCACATAGGTATCACGGCGCGGGGCGATGCGGATTCTTGTCGAATCTCGCGGCTTGTGGTGGTGTTGATCCTTTTCTTTTCCTTTTTTTTTTTCTTAATATGACACAACGAATCCATCTCTATCATAGAAAAGAGTCAGCGACAGATTAGCAATGAATTCATAGCGTCAGAAAGTACGTGTATGTCTACGATTTCCCAGACAGCATATAGGGACATCTCCCCTGCGGGTAACAGGCTCAACAAAACAGTTTGGTAGCTGTCTTGTGTGTCTCATATATGTTATGTTGGGAAGGTGCAGAAGAGAGGTGTTAGGTACTGTTGGGTAGTCGGGTGTTTTGTGTGTGGCACCCTGTTAGTGGTAGGGCATGCAATCTCCCTCAGTTTTCAAACGTATTTTCAGTGTGGTACGCATATGTACGGAGTATGCATATGTGCGGACACATTTCGGAGGATGTGCGGACACACGGGAGTGGTCTCACCATTTATTATTTTCCTTAATATGACACAACGAATCCATCTCCATCACCATTTTCTTACCGTTTTGTGTAATTTCGTGTCGTTAGATGTGCAAAGGGCACGGGAGAACATTCTCTCATCATTGCCTCCTCACGTGTCTTTTTCTTTTCTTTTTACTGCGGCAGGATCTTCGAACTGCCTTCGGAAGATGGGGACAAGGCCACCGAGTTTGGGGATGACAGGGTTTTCAACGACCTGCGGTACACGATCAACAGCGACAAACTCGCCGCGCTAGGGTGGAAGGAGGTGAGAATATGGAAGCGAGGGGTGCCACAAGTTGGTGGATGCTCTCGTGTGTTGGCTGGCCTCAGTAGTTTCACCGTTTAGACGGCCTCCCCATCTTTTTTTTGCGGGGAGGGGGGGGGGGGGGGGGGGTACTCATAGTCGTGCATGCCGTAGTCGTTAGACCATTGACCTCGCGTCCCTACAAAGCCGGGACGGAGCACGCCGGTTTCTCGCCGGACCGGGCTCTCACATCACCAAGCGCGAAGCGCCGTGAGGTATTCGGCGAGTCGCATGAAGGGTGCGCTGCATCCTGCTAAAGCGTGTTCGGCATCTTGTGCTTACTTCCTTGCGTACGGATGACAGCTGCGCATGACTTAATTTATTTTCTGGTGCTTTCACTTCCAGAGGAAGTTGTAAGCACTGTGTAACTGCCTCGAGAATTAATTTTAACACAACGTGGTGCGATC